TGCTTAAGACTGGTCGACTGAATATAATCAATCAAGTTAGCCATGTCCATTTAAGACGAGCTCCAAAATTAAAGTAACTTCAATGGACGGACGAAAGATGTGGCTATTTTAACGGTTTTATCGTTTTGTCGTTTAAGAAACAAAGTCGTTCTCAGAAATGGCCTTAAATAACATGCAACACACTTGCTGGTGGTATAGATGACAACATTTCGCTGCAAACTGATTAGTGTTTTCATGTATGCACAAGTAATGTTCTCTTAGGTACAATAAATAATATTAAATATTTACATAATAATATGCACCTCTTGTATTGACACGACTTTATTGCATATCTTGTGTTTTTATTTTTATGTAAAGTGCGTTTATGTTATTCTCCGTCACCAAACAAAGAGAGGTGCATTCATTTTGTCAAAACATTTGCAACGCCCAGAAGGAAGCAACAGTGACCCCACAAGGTATATATATTCTTGATCAGCATCAAATTCTAAGCATGTCCGTCTGTGCAATGTCTGTCGTAAACATTCTCCTGTCTGCGCCAATGAAGCTATCAACTACCAATTTGGCAGAAACATTGAAAGTTCTTGCACGTAGTTTCATGTTGAAAATGGGCCCCCAGTGCCACATAAATTGTGAACGTCGTTGTTTATCAAAAGGAATAAAAAATTGGTTTTTTGTTCGTTACCCATGAACTGTAGCAGATAAATATACAAAAATTGAAACAGTATTCAGAAGCCCTACAAAGTGCATAAATTATCGGCCTCCTGTTCGTCTGTCCATCTGTCTGTTTGCGTAACTTTGTAGTATTTGTGGCAAACATTCTTCTGTTACCGAAACATTCTTCTGTGCCTAAAAATTTGCAAAAAAATTTGAAATTGACCAAAACTTTTCAAAGGACACGCCTACAACGCCCACATGCTACTTTTATTTTGAAAATAGAAGAAATCATCTGCGCCCGCTTCATATTGTAGAGCATAAGAACTTTGTTCTTTTACTTCTTTTGTCTTTTTTTGGGGTAAACGTTGATTCCCAGTATATCCGATCTATAGTTAGAACTCTGATGGCAGCGAAACGAAACTAGAATCTGCCGGCTTGCAAGTATTGAGTTTGAAAATTATTATATTATGAAGCGGGTATCCATATGAGATATAATACCAATAATTTTCAAGGTCGTTTAAAAAAATTCCACTTTCAAAACCTACTTATAGTAAACAAAAATATTCAATAGGTTTGCTCGTTTGAAGAAAAACATGATCAACATTTTTGTTTCTGCAATGCTCGGCTTGACGCTTAATATTTGACATTTATCGTCGACTCTTTTTTGAGTACATCAGAAATGAATTGTTGCGCAAAGAGTCTAAACATCCGATAAAGGCTTTGTTAAGAATATTTGCGATCCTTCCGACGATGGGTAAGGTGTAAAAGTTTTCGTAAAAGTGCAGCAATATAATATCGATTGAATCGTAACAGAATTAATTTCCACGAATTGTGAAGAAAAACTGCGCAGATACAAACACATTTTCTTTCTTCGTTTTTGTGTTTTTCTGTTTTTCTTTTGTTTCTAAACAAAAGACCGCCGCATCCGTTAGCAGGCTTATATTCAAGTCATGAAATATTATTAGAACACTCCTTAAATATGTAAATAAAATTTTATTAAAAATTTTTCAATTCTTTTTTTCTTTTTTTTTTTTTTATTCGTAAATAACACTTATTAATTCATATGTTTGCGTGTGTCGTCATATGTTCAACATAAGTGTTTATATAGATTGATAGCATTTCATTATTTCGAAAGGGTAGAAAAGCAATACCAATACCGGTTAGTTAGTATACGAGCTTTGTGGTTTTATTTCAAAGAATATTTAAATCGCAAGGTTTTCTCTTTTGATGAAATAAAGCGAAAACATAAATAAATAAATTTATGAAAAATATAATAATTTGCCAATGACCGCCTTACCAAGGAAGAATGCTGATATATTTTTACGCGAAACTTCCTCTTTGCCAAATGAAAATATCAATGAATACTGCACGTTTATGTGTATATGCAAGAAGTGGTCTTTCCAGTTCACCGATTTATGCATCTTCTTAATCTGCCGTATAAACATTGTTTTTACAAACAAATACGTAATAAATAATAATAAAAAGAAACATTCATGTTTGAGAAGTTAATACTTATTCCAGACAATGAATCGCGGACACCCATCGCTGCTCACAACAAATACAAATCCAATGAATGTTATATGTTTTCGATTAGAGACTCTAAAAATAAATCAATTAAGAAAATATAAAATTTTATTACTATTCAACTTCATAGAAAAAGAGACAACAAATTACTAACAGACTCGAGTCTAATCTTGTTATACCCATCAATGAAGGATGAAGGGTATATTCATGTTATCAAAGCGTTTGCAACAGCCCGAAATAAGCTTCAGAAACCCCGCAAAGTGTATATATTCTTGATCGGCATCAAGAATGTAAGCATGTCCGCTTGTTCCTCTGTCCGCCTCACGGAAAGGAAAGGAAAACATCTTGTGGCTTTTAATGGGTTAAACCGAACACAGCGTTTAGTGCCCGCACCTTGCCTAAGTCATATTTCAATTTCCTTTCCCTTTTAGATTTTCAGTAAGAAACTACCCGACATCTAACGACTGATATATACCCTGCTAAGCGTCAGTTAAGTGTAGCTTCGCATTTCTGCTCGCGGAAGTAAAGTTGTTCACAAAACAAATAAGTAAGCTTTATTCGTCTTAGAACAAACCTTCGATATCTGTTACAGTAAATACACAGATATGTGGATGTGATAAAGGAAGAGATAAATTTAGCATACCATCTTGCGTATATAATGATAATAAAAAAAAACGTTTCATGAAACGAAGTAGAAAGCGGGAAATAAATGAATTTTTAAGTTCTCTTACAAAAAGTAGAGCAACGCAAAACACCCATAAGTTCATTAATAAAATTTAACGAAATTAGATAAGCAAATACGTGGATACATACGTAGCATTTATGCTTTTTTTTTTATTTTTTTTTTTATTACACATTATACGGATGCACAATGAATTTTTGTATAAGTATGGCTAAGTAAGCAAATAGCATGCATACATTCGCTTACATATATAAAAAAAAGTTTTTAATTGACTTTAAAACAAAACTAGTTAGTGCTTTACCTACTGAAACTTTATGCGTATGGATTTTTCATATGAATACATTGTTGTTGATGGCATACATTTAGCTTTTCGTGCAATACCCAGCCAATGGCATTGACATTGACTTTGACCGCAAAACAAGAAACATGCGTTAATAGTGTTAATAAAAACAATCAAAAAAAGACTCATTTTTTGTATGATTTAGGCTGCGGTCAATTGAAAAGACATTTGTAGTAATGATAAGCTTTCAAGTTTCATAAAAATTTACAACTTTAGCTCTTCTTCTTTATAGTTTACATCCAAGTAATCTTTTTATAATATATGGAGGAGAGGTTGCCTCTTCCAAAAAAGGTAATCTTTGGTTTCATTATTCCCCCTTTATTGCTTTATCACGTTAAATCCGCCTTCCTTTTTTATAATTTTCATGTGTATGTGTGTGAATTGAATTTTAAATAATAACCCTCGAATTCTCATATCTAATTTCATATTAATAATTATTATTATTTAAACGACTAATAAGAAAATTATTCAAAAGCACATATCTGCATGTGTGCGCGTGTGCTTTAAGCCGCTCTTGCAAAACTATTCATTTCCTATTAAGAGTTTGCAACGTTCAGCTTAAAAAGAAACACGAAAAATTAAGAATACACAACAGATCAAAAATGATATTTTAATTAAATTTGTTCATGCATTCAACTAAGACGCCTTTCCTCTTCCAATATGGATAAGCAGACTATGTACGCTGACAGCCGATTACAAGAAACACATATAACGCATAGGCAACTACAGCAAATTGACTCTAGGTTACGTATAATACTGTAATAAAAAATTAAACAAAAAATTCAACTAAAAAATGGCAGACTTTGATAGGGTAGCTTAAAATAAAAAGACAAAAATTAGAATAAATGCAAGGGAAATAAGTAAGAATGGACAGAAATGTTTTTATAATGCGAAAAGACAGTTACGTTGTTCTCGCACACCATACAACTAACTCTCACAGGATGCTGGCATTAAATGATGTTGACATCACTACCAGTGGGACCTTGAAGATGAGAGGTCAACTCCCTCGTCCGTTTTATAAAAAAAGCATAAGCAAAAAAAAAAAAAAGTCCCAGCATAATTGAACGTTACTTTTGTCCGTTATTCTTTTTTTGAAGATAGCTTCCTGCCTTTTTTCAGCTTGATCCCTGAGTGAATCAATTTGCATTTCTTAATCACCTCTTTTGCTTTGTTTAACAACGGCAAAGAAGTCCATGGGTGTTTGTGTTTTTCCTTCTTTTAAAATCATTTTACTTCATTATTTATTTCAAAATTTAATTTGCGTTTTTTATCGTTTTTTTTCATATATTTGTTGTTTACATTTAAAGAGATTTGCTAATTTGCTTTTGTCAAATAATATGGTAACACAGCTTATCACTGTGTTTACCACTTGGGATTTATTTACCCGAAAAACCATATTCGTCCCATTTAACAAGTATGCTCACGCCATTTCTGTTACTTCGTCCATTTAACAGATAAGAGATATTTTTTTTTCATCATTTTTCTTAGTTATTGAAAACAACTCGGTGCTCTCTCTATTCTCCACACATGGTACTTTTTTTATAAACCTCGTAAAGGAATTTTATTTACAATTCATATAAGACATAGTTTATAAGCAAAAAGGACTTGTGAAAAAAAATCTCTCTTACTTTGGTTTGTGGCTGCGTTGGTTAATTTGAACAAAATGACGCAGAACTTTTTTAAAGTTTTCATTATGGCAACACTACCAGCAAAGAGATCTCCATGAAAACTTTGAAAACAAAAGTTATAAAAAAGTTATAAACTCGGAGTTAAAACAAAGCAGTAAAATAAAATAAATGATCTGAGACATTTATAATGACAGCCCGTGGTATAGAAGCTATTAAACTGAATACGCAGACGAAGGTCAGCAAATTGAGTCCAGATGTTAAAGTGAAAACACAATGCAACACAATAGATAAGGAAACAAAAACTACTATGACTCCAATAGAGAGATACAGGTGGATGACGGCTTACATATACATTACTGATAACAAATTATTATAAGTTGATGGTTTTCATAGTGCAGGTTCGAGTGGCAAGAATTATTAAAGATTTTAGATGAACAGCCAGGACGTATACGGGAATATGGCTTTGAAGGCCATTTGAAAACATCGAAATTTCGTAGCATTTACTGGAGCGTAATGCTGAGAGTGTTAAACGAGGATTATCGCAATTGGAAATTGCAAAGAGCTCAACAACGCCAACGGTAAGCCGTGCATATTTCTGTAGATGTAATCAATGCTACCATTAAATCATTATTATAACTCTTCTAGCTACAAGCGTTTGAAAAAGGATTTCGTAAAAAATCCTCATGAGTTGGGCGATCTGAATACGAATGACAATCCTCTTTCGCAATCTTCACAGGTAGACATTTTGTCATTATAAAAAGAATATGTAAATTTGAAATAATTTGTTGATTTTTGTCCAATTGTTTCGAACATTCCAAATCGTAGAGTATTTGGAATCAGTATTTCAATAATCAAGAATTGTTTGCTACCATCGGACAAGACGTAGTACGCACGTTTCCAGGAGTCGATTTCTTTCGTAAATCGCCAATACAAAATGCTATGGTGGGCAGAATTAGCTTTAATTTTATATGTCTCTTTTTATATATATATGTGAAACTATTCACTCGAATTTCTCTTCAGTGCAACATACTTTTCTATTATGCACGTGAGCATCCGTATATGTCTTATCGTCAGGGAATGCATGAAATTTTAGCACCCGTCATATTTGTCATGTACGGTGACCATCAGTCATTATTGCATTTCAAAGAAATCACTGACGCAGAAGTAATCGAGTAAGTACCATATAATTGCAATTGTAAATTTTTATGTCGTCTACCAGTTTCTACCAGATATGACTTTGTATTAAAAGTTCAAGCTTATATATAAGTATATATCTAATCGATAGGTAATGACATAGATTTTAGAAAAAATAATAGTTAAAGCCCCTGTTCATTGTCTTCAATTGGGTCTTAACAATACCTGTTAATGAGTTTTTCCTCTCAGCTGACAATATATTCGCCCCAAATGAAATTTTTATTTCATATGGGGATGTGCGTCTTTCTATTCCGAAAAATGAAATAAAATCGTCCAATTTAGTTCCAAACAAATTAAGTTTTAAAATAGGAAGGACGCCCCCATGGTCGTGTAAATGATAACTGAAATATGCTACAAATTTCAACATCTTCTCGGCAGTCACTGAAAACTAGCAAGGAATATTGAAATTTGACAGACCTTAGTCTCAGCCATGTAATAATAAGTTGTGGTAATCTCGTATTAGGAAAACAGAATGCAGAAAATAGGAACCATTTAACGATTGAAGGCAAATATTTCAAACCACATTGGAATGTATTCGTTTTTATCGCAAAACAATTTTCAGAAATTGAACTCAATATTTATTCAGCCGCAGCTTCATAGAAATATCAAAAACAACTGTTTAAACTCTAAGGTGCCGATACAGTTTTTTTTTTTTTATTTTTTAGAAATGAAGTAGGCTGAATGGAATAACTAGAAAGAATTAGATATTATTACTGTTGATTCCAATAGGGCAGTGAACCTTAGTAAGCAGTTGACGAACAAATCTCTAGACTTTGAACAAAAAGTTCAGTGATGTGCAACGTTAAGTCCGATAATTGTCTTATTTGTATTGATTTTATTTTATTTTTATATATATGTGTATATATATATATTTTGTTTAAGTACAATTTTAGCTAATGTTTTGGATCCGGACTTTTTAGAGGCGGATTGTTAGTAAGTTTTTTTTCCTTATATAATACTTGGCAACTTTTTACCTAGTATTATCTCCTATTAGTTTCATTTTTTCGCGTGTAATGGCCTCTATCGAATCGTACTATCGTGTTAATAACGTTCTGTCTTCCGAATGGAACTTAAAAACAAACGGCCTTATGACGAATAATAATGCGGTAAAGTAAATATGATAAAATATTAATTATTAAAAATGATAAAATCATCATTGGTTTAGGAGTCCGCTGACGAGTCCACCGAATCAGGTGTCATTGCTCATTTAAATTCAATTCGAGATAAAATTCTTGCGAAGGAAGACTTACACTTACATAATTATCTTCTTAAATTGGACATACCTTTGCATATATTCGGGATGTAAGTCCATTACTAAACAAAATTGATGAAAAAGGGTAAACATATTCCATCCTGTTATTCTAGACGTTGGTTGCGCCTCTTATTTGGGCGAGAATTTACTTTGCTTGATTTATTGGCTTTGTGGGATGCCATATTTGCGGATAGTGATCGTTTCGATCTGCCTAATTACATAGTAGTCGCTATGTTGATAAGGATACGCGATAAATGTAAATACTAAATGGATATTAGTTGTCTACAATTGTTACCTTCAATTTCCTTTGCAAGTACTTTTAAGCGATTATACCACGTGTCTTACATATCTAATGCGTTATCCTTCCAATGTTGATGTCGGTCTAATACTACGCCATGCTTTACATATGCAAATGCCTAAAGTATGTTAATTTTCGTCGTTCCGATTATAAATAAAATTTCAGTTCATTCCACTTACTAAACATAGAAATATGACAGACCGGCAAATGCGTTTGTCTATTTTACAATGCCGTCAAGACGTCAGGGAATGCATAGCGCTGCTATGACTAAAATCTCTGGCCCTTCTCAGCATAAAAAAGGTGACCGGGACCAAAATGCTCATTCAAAGTCTGTGAGCAAAGACACGTTATTAGATTTGGAGAAAGAAGTAACTCTACTGCAAGTCCGAAATGCGGCTGATGCTGCCGTACTAGCTCGGCTTAAGCCGGCAGCAAACGAAGAAAGTCATGTTATTATGGACGGTTACGCGAAGAATGTTAGAAACGCAATGCGATAATGAACGATACTTTTAATAATTATAATATCTTACAGAATCCCGATTTAGAACGTTTAGAACTGAAAAACGCGCAAACAGTTATAACTGTGGCTCGTAATAAACTACAAACCTATCTGCATACCATACGTCGCTTTATAAACAAACCGAATTCCACTGAGGTAATGAATGCTCTGGATGGCATTGAAGAATTGTGTCAATATTTGGATGTGAAATTTATGTTTCCTTTGCACTCATGTTCAGCTCCCATTGACCAAGCCTTAGAAGCGAATGAACAACAACAAAGAGAAGAAAAACGAAAGACTAATAAGCCTCCTTTGGTATATGCACGTTGTGACCACTCCACTGAAACAGCTAACCAAATTGTTGGGGCATCAGCACTGGCCATTTATGAAAAACCAGATAACGGTTTCATGCTGCAATCGTCAAGGATATTGGGTCATCTTAAAGAAATAGAACTATTAACGATCGCTAGCAGTGAAAAGACGAGAGATCCTGTTAATGAGATTAACAATGGTCTACCGGCCATGGACCCCTTAAACTTAAAAGACTGACTCATTTGCACCTTTATGTGTAAGACTAAGAATTCCTCAGCACCTTTTCGCAAAGTTCGCCACCAATTAGGTTGTAGTAAGCTATAAGTCTACTATAGCTCACAACCGTATATTAAGGCAGAGAATAAGTCGGTATTCTCCACAAGCCTATTAACGCGATCGCTATATGATTTTTTGAAACATAAATATAAATCTACGAATAAATATCTTTAGTTAAGCAACGTTACTCTTCCTACAAGCGCGAAATTGATGACGTGCTCTAAATGTTCAACGTAAGTCAATATAAAATTGATCTTTTCTTTTGCAAAGTTACGCATTTGATTGTTAATAAAAATATATATTGATTTATCAGCTTTATCGTTTAGTAAAACGGAATTTAAGAATTTAATCTCTCATTGTTAATTACTTCAATTTTCTTCTTCTTCGGTGAAAGGGTGGATGCTTCTCTTTTGTTCCATTGTCCCACTATCAACATAGCTCTCATTATTGGCGAATGCTTATAAATCGTGTTTTTTTTGTTTTTTGGGCAACCTCTCGTAGTATCTAGTATCGAGTATTGTACATTGAACTCGATGGCATTATTCAGAAGTGTCTGAAGGGCAGTACCTGGTACTTGCACAACGAAATGTAGCTTCCCACCAGAGTACTTGCCTTGAAAATTTTCTCTCTCACTTTATAAATAATTCTATAAACTAGAGGTTTGAAACATTATTTATAAATAATTCTATAAACTAGAGGTTTGAAACATTAGAATTGGGCAAAGCAAATCATTATAACACCCTACATTGCGTCGCCTACTAAATACTAAAAAATGAATCTTCTCGTTATAAAAAATATTAAGGAATTGTTCAACACTCCTTCATTTTCATTTAATACGATCAAATACTAATTCGAACCGATCTTTGTGAATAAATATGAAAAAATAGCAATTTCTTCAAGATAGACCGTCTAATTAACTTACTGGACGAAATTTGAAGCTTGTTTTGACCCAGAAAACCAATATAAACTTAACAAGTAAGTTGATATTCGGGTATTTTAATTCGAGTATTCCTGGAGAATAACATCATTTATACGAAATCGGAAAACTATGATAAGATTTGTAATTAATGCCCGCCCACAAAGGCCGAATAAACTTCTTGGTTTAATATTAAAATATACGGTTTATTTTATCAATTCACAAGAAAGTTTAAGAAAAAAAAAAAAGAAAACGAATCAATCAGGATTGGTAATGTTTGCTGATCGGCGTTGAGGTTTGCTTAGAAGCTATGGATAATGGCGACGTGACAGATGCTGCTGACCCGTTCAATAAATTTTTCAGACGCAAGTTGATGATATTTTTTTGTGCCGGCGGCTTAATGTTGTTGCCAGCACCGTATGGTTTTTGTGGCGATGGGTGTGACTCTAACGTAACATTTTGTACCGCTGTTTGCGGTATTGTTTCTTTCTGTGTTATTTGTATGCTTCCGTAGTTAAAAACTTGTCTATTATTTGCCATGGATGTGGTGGGAGAAGAATTTATAGCACTCGTATTGCCTAAACGTTGAGTGGCTGCTGCAGATGTTGCAGTTGCAGTTGTTGGAACATGGACTCGTTTTATTTGTAGTGTTTCACTATTTGATATGCCGGTGACGGTTGTTTGCGACGTAAGAGATTGAAGAGGTATACAACGTATGGTCGGGGCGTTACTCGCCGTCTTATTTATTTGTGGTAAAGGTACCGTTGCTTTAATTTGTATCGGATGTATACCAGTTTTGTCCATTACACCTATGAGCGACGCGTAATTAGTGGTAGTGGCGCTGTGTGTCGATGCGCACGCTTTAGCCTGATTACGGTCGCTGAAATCTGATGTATTGACAGACTCGTGATAATTTGTTTGACGTTCATTGTTAGAGGTAGTCGCCCTCTCGCTTGCCTGTTCCAAAATGGGATCCACGTTATCTTGACTTGGGGGAGACGATATTGTATTGTTAAGATCGCTGGATTCGTCGATGATCACTATCTCTCTTTCAGGCTCTTTTTCTTCCTGCTCTTGCTGCTGCCTTTTGAAATTCTTCAATTCTAGTCCACAAACAATTTCCATAATTTTCATTTTACCCTCGGTTGCCAAATCAACTGGCAGCTTTTTTATAGTTTCGGTCACACTCTTGAAAAACAAGTCATACGAGTTATTAGTTGAAGCATCTCGTCCTCCAGCCAACGAAGACGAAAGAAGAGAATGATTTTGAGATAGGTTTTGTTGCTGAAGTTGTTGCTTTATAAATGGGCCCAAATAATTGGCCAAAGTGAGTGGCGTATTCAACAGGTTGGCCACCAAGGTACTATTATCGTGTTCATCACAGAAATCTTTATTATTGCCGGATCTTTTAAAGCGCTTTGCTGGTCCATCTGCGCCGTTTCTATGTCTCCGTTTGGAGGTGGAATGGCTGTTTGATGAATTTCTGCTAGATTCCAAATCCGCAGTCTCTTCCAAATGGTCGCATCTGTAATATTAACGGAATATTAAAAATGCATTTATTGTTAGGAATATATATAAAATGGCCTACTTTTCACTTAAATCGTCCTCATCGGTTCTCGCAGTGTCGTCTTCCTCAAGGAACAACACAACCTTATCATCTTCCGTAGTTTCAGTATTAACATTTGTTACCGCTACTTCGTCCTTCTCTGCTTCTTTTGTTTCCCCTACTGTTGAATCCAATTGCTTATGCGCGGCAGAAAAGTGATGGATTTTTAATTGCAGATGTCTAAGTGCTACCTCGTCATCACAGAACTGACAACGGATATAACCTTTACGTGCACAACTCTCTATCCAAGGATAATGCTTTTTATAAGGCTCAATTCTCTTTTCATCGTCATCCTTTTCCTCATTCGTTTGCGAATCCCCAGCCGCCTCGGCACTTTTCTTTTCGCTTTGTTTCAAATTTCCCTCCATGGACATTTTCTTTTCTTGATAACGCTTGAGGGCCTGGAGTTTCAAATGCTTAGTGGTGCGTTGATGCCTCGAAGCATGTTTAGCGGATCGTGCAAAGATCGATTGCTTGCATACTTTGCAAAACGCATAATGAGAGCGTACCTCGGTCCTCTTATACGTTAACCAAGGAAACCTAATACGCCATTGCGTTGTAATCGATGCTGACGAAGAAGGAGTCGGCATGACATCCTGATTAACGGATGCTTTGTCATTTCCTGCTGGCACGGAGCCTATATCGGACGCTATAGTCTTCCTAACAGCAGAATTTCTAGAAACTCGAAGTTTACAAAATAAGGTCAATTTCCTGGTGTGTTGTTGGTTTTACCTGTTTTCCTCTTTGCTTTTATATGCCTTCTCATTCAATTGATGCAGTTTAGATTGTTCATGCTTATCCTTTCTGTAATTAGCACTCAATCGTGATCTACAATATTTGCAATAATACATCTTACTGGACGCTTTCAAGTTCACTGCCCAAGGATACTGATTGGCTCCGTCGTAGTTTTCTTCATTAACTTCTTTTCTGAAGAAAAAAAAAAAAATACCAATTTATGGAGACAAACTATTAAATGAATGTGACTTACTTAGTAGTTGCTTTAGCCCAGTATGCTTGCTCAGCCATCATATGACGAGTGCTTGATTGGTGCTTGCCACGCGAACCTCTTTTGTTCAGAACTACTTTACAATATAGACATGTGTAGTAATTAAGAGGATCTTTTTTATAACGTTCGCACCATGGATACAAATTTAACCATTCCTCGGTACAACGGAAAACTCGTTTATATCTGCAAACAGGTATGAATGAATGAATGAATGAATGAAATGAAAATCGAACACTTTTATCCTGTCTATTCCAAACACTTACTTGTTGTCATTACTCTCGTCGTTTTCAGACATATTTTCTTCATCTTTGTTTTTATTCTCATCACCATCACCCTTATTATTATTATCACTCTTTGAACTTATTTGCCCAGTATCCTCATCTTCATTAGCATTTTCTAGATTGCCGTTATGTTCGTTTTCATGTTTACTACCGGACTCACTTGCCTTATCAGAATTTTCATTTTCATCCATTGCTTGATCAGTCTGGGCGTTCTTTGCATTAGTATCATTTTCATTGTTGTAGCTTTTCTCGGCAATTTTATGCTGAGCACTATTTTCGTGAGTTATTCTTTTTAATGAGGAATGACCGTATAGAAAACGTTTTTCACAATATTTGCAATACGCTACGGACGCGTCAATGGGATCCCCACTTATCCAGGGATGTTGTTTAGCATAATAACTCCAGCCTGGTTTATTTTGATTAGAGTTATTCGATTCACGGTCCTCTTCTTTTAGAGGCGTGGCAGTACTTCTGTAGAAGTTATCGGTGGTTAACATAAGCATCAACTCAATTACGTAAACTTGTGGCAAAAATTCTTACCCTCTTGGTTTCTTCTGTGCTTTAAGATAATCGCGCACATTTTTCACATGAGATTTAGTTACTATGTGTTTTCTGTAACTTCCCCTTGACATTTTGGAATTGCAAACAATGCAACGACATAAGTTCGATTCGAGAAGCTCGCGCCACTTAAGGCTTGTAGTTTGTTGTCTAATGCTGCAAGTAATAATGAAAAAGAAAGTGACCTTAGTTAATGGCATTCGTTCGTTACTTACGATTTATTTTCATTAGTTTTGGCAGCATTAAAGTCTTCATCATTAAGATCATAATCTTCATCCGGTTCATCGCAATCTTCAAAATCTCCGTCACTTTCGCTTTCACGGGAATTTTTTCTTTGCAAAATTTTGCCAGCATTGCCTTCATTATAATGCTTTTCTGCGTCTTTGTGTTTGCTCGACTCTTGATGACGTTCTCTTAGATAGCGAAATTCCACATTTAATCGCATATGACAATATTTACAGCGTCCGATAGTGCCGCCCTCGGAATTATCACGTTTCAACCAACTGTACTCTTGCAACCAGCGACGCCAGTTAAAATTATTTAAAGCCTCCACCTGTGATTTGCGTTTCAGTTTCAAAGCTGCTATACGACTATCTGTACCGAATTCCTGTTTAACCTCAATCAGTGGCTTGCTAAATAAAATGTTCATTAAAGTGTTCTTTAAATGTCTTAATAATAATTTAAAGGCAAAGGAATATTTACATTAAGCCTGACTTTTCTTCTTCGTTTCTGAACGCTAAATAATTGGTACTACGTTCCTTGTGATACAAGGATAATGAATGCTGTTTAACTGAACTGAAAGAACGTACATTTAATTTGGCATCGCAATACAAGCAATAACCATAGTATTCGTCAGCATCTTCATGCAAAAGCCAGGAGTATTTTGCCATCCAGTCTTGAATGTTAGAGCTATGGCTTGAGTTCGAATAGCGATTTGATGAATCGGTATCAGAGTCGCCATCTTCTTCTTCGTCGCCATCATCGTCATCGTCAGCATTTGTTCTTGTACTGCTGCTGGCTTCGCTGCGCTCATTAATTTCTAGCAAACCCATAGGATCATGATCTAATATTTCCGACTCCTCAATATTTTGCATTGGCGATTCTCTTAATGAATCTCTCAAATCTTTACCAAGGTCCGTTTGATATGAATTTGATACCGAAAAGTTGCCTTCCGCAATTTTCACCATAGGCTCGATGCAGGTTACAAATTCTGTTGAGACACAAGCACTCGCGATATCATCGCTTGCAATCAACGCTGCGGTAGCTGTCTTTTCTTTATTCGGATGATAAGCCCCGTAGTATTCGTCAGACGAAGCGTCATCTATTTCAATAGGTTCTTTTAACGCTTCCTCTGTCTCTACCAAGGTTACTTCATCGCTGCAGCAATCGTCCTCGCGGCCACCGGCCGTTTTCTCCTCTATATTATCGACTGTTTTTGCTTGTTTACCACTTTCCTCGCTTCGAATTTCTTCAGTCGCTTCATTATCTTCCTTATTCATTTGATTTTCATCATTCGCTTCGTCAACACATTGTTTTTCAGTGTTATCGGAGTTCCTTTTAATACCAAACAATCTCAATTCCCAAATTTAAAAAAACAAATTTTTTTTTTTTTTTGTAACTTACATTATTTCTGCACAGATCGCTATTTTGTCTACTTTACAAGGCGAAAAACCGTAGAAAAATTTTCAAAGCAAAAAAAAGACGAAAAGAATCCGCTGTGATGTCTGCAAGTTCGCGAGATCCGCACTGAATGGCTTTTACGTTTGTGCCTAAGGATACAATTGGAAATATCGATAAAATCACTTTAATATTAACCGCGTTATTAAAGAATCCGATTTTTTTCTTTTAAGAAGCAAGAATATTTGTTAATATGCCGTTGATGTACTCAAATAACCTGACTACTTCAAGCTTCTCTGCTTACTATGGCTCGCACTTTACTCTTGACAGTGGCAACCATATTAAAAAAATACATTGCTTCGTATGTAGCGTGTATATAAATGTGTATATATATATATATATATATATATATATTTAGTATACACAAAATATTCTTCAGATAAAATGTATTGAAAATCTTGTAGCGAGAACAAAAGAGATAGAAACACTAGCTTGCTTTTTCATTCTTAGAGCGACTCGAGGATGTTTGTGTATATAACATGAAATACAAAATTATGTATATAATATATAATATATGTCATCGCGTCGTCCAAGATTGAAAAAGTTTTCTAATGTTTCTATCTCTTTTCGTATATATAAACGCAAATATATGTCGTCAAAATATTTGCTACATGATTACGTTGCATCTCTTGAAGAGAGGAAGGGAAGGACTTCAAAAAATTTCCCGGTTTTTAGAGTAAGGTTTGCGCATTTCACAGCTTGTAGACCCCTATCTTGCAAAATTTTTTTTTATTGGTGTGCATTAAGGGATCACTTATACCGTTTGTAGCACATTCCAGGTAGTTCCCTGGTATAATTTATGAATCTATCGTTCGTAAATATCTTTTACAGTTACTTATTTCTCTTGAAACAATTCCCAGAGTCCACGGTCAAATAGCATCCAATTAAATCACTGGTCGAGGGAAACAATTTTTTGCTAGTGGTTGTCCGTCCTGCCAAGTCCGAACGAATACGTTTGTGTACCGAATGTACGCGACCACGTCCTGGTTAAGAGACATAGACTAGAGGTAAGCAGAGAGGTGATCCACGAAAAGACAAAAGCTTGATGTCCACGCAAGTTAATGGCTTCGTATAAAGCTCCTTCCAGCATAATCTAAATAAGTTCTCATTTATGATTCTTACAAGATGAGATGGTGAAAGTTCCATGTGCCAATAGCGGCCTAACCTTTGCAACCAAAATTTGAAGTTGACCGCCTTTCCGTCAAAACGACGGACACTAGTTTGCCTCGTCTAGTCCACAAGAGTTTGCTTATTTACCCGATCGATGTGTGTCGGGCGATATTGCTAAGCATATTAGTTATTATTAGTTATGTTAAGTCAAAGAGAACGTCATCGAGTGATTTCTTTGACTTTCGATATCATCCCTGACAACAGCGTTCACTGCAAAAAGCGCAGTGAACTACTTCCGAACGACTTGAATAAATTTGAAATTCAGTGTAAGACGGTTACCAAAGCATAATTTCTTCGACATTATCTTATTAATAGGTCTTTGCATGTATTTTGGCCAGTAACGTCTATAGGTGAAAATGATAAATTAATGCGAAGCAACATACATAACGGTTAATTTCGACGATTTTCGCCTTTTTCTGCATTAAATTACGGTTTTCCATTTAGTGTTACTGAGCTATTCCGTGTCTAAAGGCGCTAGTCATGGAACGCTTAAAATTGCATTTTCCGTATTCAATGCCTTGGTTGCTTTCCAGACAAAAAATATCGAGTTTTCTGTGGCGTATTGTGACTAGCGACGAAAAATGGGTCTACTGCGACAATCCCAAGCGCAAAAAGTCGTCTGTTTGTTCAGGGGACACGTCCACGTCGACACCAAAGCGGAATTTTCATGTCCATAAAATTCTGCTTTGCATATGGTGCAATAAGCAAGGTATAGGGAATTGGGTTTGTGGGCTGTCTTTGAATGTTATTGTTGCACCACCACGATCTAAGATATTTTAATTTCGTCCTTGACTCCTACTTCAGAATCAAATTGGATAGACATTATCTCTACGTATTTGGGTTGAAACTATTGATCTTCTCAAAACTCGAACGCCATGAATTTTTGTTATCCCAATTTTCCCGTCAATTTTCGACTACTTCGGTTTTCGCATTTTTATAGCAATTCTTTAACCACAAATACCACGGTAATTGCCCTCTTTTCCTTATATTTTTTTGCAATTACTTTCCAAACAAATTTGCTGCACTGATCCACTATTTTCGACCCGATGTCGGGCCAGTAATTTCTCTAACTTGATCAAATTAAGTTCTACGGTTAAAAAATATACCTTTTCATCTCAGAAACATTTTCGCTCTAAACATTTTGGAGCAGTCAAACGTGCTTTTTTGAATCACGCAGGCAGGCGCGTTAAAGCAAGTGTTTTCGTAATGTTTAATACTAATTTCCCCGAAATATTCGCGATAGGCGAATCACAATTCATTGAGGCCAAGTCTTTGCAGATAATCGTTAACCGTTTTGAGTCGTGTTTGCGTAGCCAGGTGGGTTCCAAGTACATATAACGATTAGCAGAAAAGTGATGCATGAAAAGATAAAAGCTTGATGAGCATGAACTCTGTTGGCTTCATGTAAGATTCTGTCCTATCTCGTTTACGTGAAGCCTCACTCACAACTCTTACAAGGAACAATTCAGGTAATCAAAGTACGGTCAAATGGGAAAAGATCGATGAGCCAATAATGTAAGATGATTACCTCGGATCGACACTATCTCGGACGACAGTTTACTTTGTGGCATTGTTGGCTTTAAAATGACTTTCTTTGTCCATTGCTTATTCTGTGATCACAACTAACCCATCACAACATTTAATGCAACCCAAACACCCGCGCCTGTTTGAGGGAGTGCGGACATTCCCATTGGACGAAAAGGTCATGGAGTGGTTTCACTGACATTCGATGTTATCGTATACTGCTAGCAGCAGGACAATTATTTTCATAACTTCGAAGCCCATCGAAGAGAAGGGTGATTTCGTCCTTATCTTATTATTTTGTGAATTGCTTAATAATACTCATTACTTAGAACGCAGCCTTAGGCGTAAGGTCTTTCTTTGAATTTTAGCAACGCTGCGCAACATCATTTACGTTCTTTCGGTTCCAAAATACTCTTGTAATTTGCGAATTTCTAAATCCTTTCGTCCACGACCCTAAATTTAGAAGCAACTTAGATAGACATCACTTCTAACGGCTTCTGTGGATTCCAAGGTTGGAAAATGTTTTTAAAATTTGAACGGCAGGAATTTTTGTCGTCAATTTTCAAATGCGTTCAGTCTATCGTTGAGGCGGCTTGATGTCGTTCTCTATACTGGAGGGCTTTCATCGAGTTTTTATAGTAATCCCGGTACCATTATTTACTTGGCAAATGCCACGTTTTCCTTTCGATCTATTTTTACATTTGCTGCTGCATGTGATTATGCTTTTGATGCTTGGTAAGATGATTTTCAGGGACCTCAGCATTGTTCTGAAATAACCTTTTTTCTATTGAGCGAACAAATTCCTGTTTACGCTCACGAAGTATAGGCATGTATAAGGGTCTTCCTTTCTTACGAAATAAAAAGAGGGAGTGTATCCACAGCGGATTTCTACCATTTCCGCCCACAACAAAATTTTGAATCGATTTAAATTAGTCCACCCGTTTAACACATTTAATTTTGTTCGCAAACTTGGTACAACCGAGATAAAAAGTTGAGAGCATTTGCCAAGAAATTTCCATTTCCGGCGAACACGTAATCGCGACCAGCCACCGAGTACGCTAAAAAATTGCACGATGGGTAGCAAAGATTCATCTCTAGATGAATGCAACTTTGCTACTGGTATTGGTCGTACGTTTCCCACTCAGATTGTTTCCATTAATCAACAATATATTCGAGCTCATAACGCTCATATATAGCTTCTTCTAATCAGAACAATGGTAAGCACTTTCGAAGGAAGTGTTATATATAAAGCTACTTAACTATATTCTTCATCTTCCCCAAGCAACTATCTTACATTAATTCGCCTTAAAAAGCAAGCGCTTCAGGAAGGTACTTAGACTCGATTAATTAGAGTAGTGCGTATTCTTCATTTTAAACAAGTATTTGGATAGTTCTTTTTTTGTGAATGTAAGAATTGAAAAGACAGCCTCCTTCAAGCCACGTCAATGGAAAAAAATTTCCCTATTCCAATTTTTCCTGAACAATTTTTGCTCAACTTAATCAAGTATTTGATGAAAAGGCTTTTGCTTCATTATCATAAATTACTTAAGGTGGCAACGTTCGAATCGCCCTCATAGAAGTTCGTCTGGACTCGAAACTAATGAACGTAATAAATTTCAGGTACATACCATCACTGTCACTTGTTTATTTGGAGATTGTAATACCTTCACTTTTAAAATCATTCACACTTTTTAATGGTACGAACTATGTATTTTTTTTTTTTTTTTTTTGGTATGTTGAACAGAGATGGATTACGAATATGTAGTAGCCAAGTAAAATCTACCGGTATTGCAATGTTTGCCTTTGCCTATTACGTCTTTTTTACATAAAGCATATGATTTTTAATAAGCCTCGTTGCGTTTATGATCTATTATTGCCATGCGAATAATTAGACGATTATTGCCACTGGGCTGATATAAACAAATATTTCCTGATACCATGACCACCATGAGTATTTCTTTCATTAATTCATTGCATTTCGATAACTACCACCAAGAGATGAAGAGCATATTCATTTTTTCAGAAGGAAGTTACAAAGGCCCAAAGACCTAAATTCTATAAAATATCGGCCAAATGTGAACTGCATACAGAAACTGCAACAGATACAAGAGAAAACGTTCGCACTTACAGCACTTGTACAAAAATCGAAAAATTTATCACGTCTAACATATGTTATGAATTAACGGAATTTTAACTTTTTTTTTCGATTCTTGACTCACTGGTTTCAAAATAAGATAAACATGGTGAATTTAAAAGGTTTGGCTAAGTTTAGCCATTTATCTGTACCCTCTAAACACAACTTTTAGGCCCATAAATCTTGAAAACAAAACCGACGCTGTAAAGCTGTTCTAAAAAAAAATGAATTCGTCTGCAAGAAATTAAAAACACTTGCTGAAGATTTTAACCTTCGTCTCGGATTCGGCGAGAAAATGATAAATTTTTTGCCAATGTCTCTACCATCTCGCTATGCATATAATGCACAACGTTCAAGCTCAGATTCCGCCGGCAAACGTTTGAGGACAGTGAATAAGAAGAGGATATTTAAACGTACGCGTGCACTTCCATGGTTCTATGATAGTAAATATTTATAAAAAAAATCATTATTATAATAAAAGAACATATCTATAACCAAGACTTTCAAGACTTTTTAAATGCGTTTTTCTAAAAATATGATTTTCCTATAAAAAGGATTTTCCACTTTTCAATATTTTTACTGGAATTTGTTACCAAATGCTTGGAACGTAATTTTTATTTTTTTATTATCATTTAAAAATGATTTATTATAATGAAAGTTTGCTTTTTTGCTGGAAATTTGGACATTTTGTTGCATCTGCTTCTTTTTCCACATACTGTTACCAACAGCTGTAGATATACAGGTTAATTGATTTTTCCTTCTTTCTTTTTAGATTCAATTGAGCACCAACTAGTTCCAACGTGCTCCTCAAATTGAATATGCCTCGAATGGAGTGGGTAAGTTACCAAAAAAATGTTATTTTTTTGAATATGTAAAAATATGCTTAAAATCCTCTTGCTTTTGATGCAAAGAATTGTCAAAAAAACACTTTTTTTGGGATGCTGCAGTAACTTTATTTTTGAAATGTTCAGGTCCCTAGCTATCCATGCCCGTGTGGCCCTCTTGTCGGGGATTACATCTTACAATCTTTTTCCTTTTGGTTAAGACCAACTAGACTGAGCCAATAAAAATGGTTAACATTTCCACTCAAAAAAATTCTGAAGGGGAAAATTTTTGGAGTTTAAATAGTGTACGTGTCACTTTCGGCAAAAGGCGCTTGAACATTTTTTTTAGTTCTTTGATTTGACAATTGATGTTAAGTATTTTAATTTATACGAACATTTATTATTGTTAATTGCGTGGGCAATCCGCATCGCGGCCTAGAAGATCTATTGTGCTCGCTGGTGTCCCTAGCCCTCCAGTTTTATGATTCTTATGTTCGGAGCACTACATGATGGCCGGCTAACTTTAGCGAAAAGCTCGCTGAACACATGAGGTCTGCGACTAAACGATGATCGTCTTCTTAGTTACAGCAGTTTATGTGCCATCCCGCAAGATTTTACGAATCTTTTTGCCTACCGTTGCCCTGCTTCCAATGGCAATCTGATTTCTTCTGTGCCCATTGCCATATGGCTTCTAGGTACACCACGGAAAGCTTCAGAAGCTATCAGGTCCTCCCGGTCTCTCTGTTAGCCAAACAAGTCAGCCCTTTCGTTGCCTTTAAAACCCGAACGTCCAGGCACTCATATTAAATGCACATCGTTTTGCCTGCCTAGGTGATTCAGTTTCAAAACATTTACGACTGCGTGTAACTCATCTTGCTCCTTCGACATCCATTAATAAACCCGATAGCCTCAGATGCTTTAAAATTTTAGTCTTTGAATATATTTTTCTGGCTATATTAATTATAATAATAATAATACTATCTTTTTGAAGAAAAAAAAAAACAAAACAAATGCATACATATATAGAAATGTATAGATAAATGTATACAGTAGATATGTAATACAATTCTGAGAAAGCTCGATATCATTCCCTCAATTTGCAGATGCACTTTCGAAAGACTCGCGTTCAAGAATTGCTCGCAATTCAAACTCTGCTACAAGCTGAGAGACACGGCTTTTAACCTCCGCCGCCAATTTAGGCGGCAATGCTCTTACTGTGCAGCTCATTGATTCAAAGAACAAGTCAAAACTGTCTTTTTGAGGAACGATTGTACTCAGCATATGCGATATATCTGACGTTCGTTGTGTTCGCAAGTATTTACCCAAATCCTGTCGCTCTTTATCAATGCGATTTAATAATTTTAAGCGATTGGTTTTTGATAGGAGTGACCTTCTGACAGCTGCGAGTTTATTTCTTGCCAAATTGCTTCGCCCTGGGCTAATTTCAGGTTTTTCTGCTTGAAGAAGTTTCACAACTTTGGCAGGTACGGCTCCAATTCTGTTAAGTTTTATGTTCTCATTGCAATCTTTCGCGTTTTCGTAGCAACTGCACAAACAGTTACGCAACATTAAATGGGGGAGTTTTTGTGTCCATGTTAAATGCAATATACTTACTAGTCTTCCAAATATTGACTTTCAGGATGTTTCGTCACTTGAACATTTTCGGTAACAGCGTTTTCTAATTCCTGCAATTGCGTGTGCTTAAGGGACTTTTCATGACGTTCCAAATGACTTTTCTTGCAGACTAAATCTGTTCTGCACACCATACATATCCCTATCGACTCATATATGCGATCTGCTTTAAGCCAGGGAAATTCAGTTTCCCAACGAGCACAAAATTTTTGCCGTGGGTGCTTCAACTGTGCCAAATTCTTGCGAAGCTTTTTTATTTTTATTTTGCTATTATGAGATTTACTGCGTCGTTCATGTATATAACAGTAAACATTTTACTTATATTGTTTATGTTTATTTAGCTAATTAAAGTGCTTACTTGATACCTTCCTTGTCTCTTTGATGCGTTTCCAATTGTCCACACATTTTCATTGCTTATAGTATTCGAAAACTGTTACACATTTAAGAATTTGGGATAAAAAAGGCTAAAATTTTACCCATTTTCAATCAACAAAATTTATACTGTTTTTATGCTAACGTTGCCAAATACAGCCAACTTAACATATTACCAGAAGCTAATAAGGCAAGTTCGAAATATTCTACATCACATCATCTAATCCTATACTTTACTTACTTTCATCATGGTATACTAAAAATCGCACTCCATTTAACGCCCCATAACTGCCTATTTTTCAGACGAACTTTTATAAAGTTCGAAATCCTGATGTTCATATGAAAGTCGGTCCAAAAATGCTTCCGCCAAATCTACCAAAATACTATTTTCTTCCGATTTTCGTCGTCAACTATTATATTATTTTATTATATTATATTATAAGTTGCACTTCTCTTTCAACTGATCGTTGAAGTGATGCGATTCAATCCATTCTCAATAGAATTCATCCCTGGGATAGTCTGCGTACAAAATTTCGTCGAAATGTTTGAAAAAGTGCGACCTGTTGGTTAAACATACGAGCACGTGGACAAAGTTCAAAAAGACAGACAAGCTTTAATTGGCATAATGAAAGCTGTGCCTACCTTCAGTCTTTCTGAACAACTTAGGTAGAATATAAATATTTTTAGAAATAACTTGAGAAATATTTCGTTCAAATATCACATTTTCAAAAGCGTTATTTCATATATGCATTTCAAAATCACTACTTTCCCCGAAAAATCCCGAACATTTGCAACCATTAGTTGCAGGGGACGCTTGGTTTGTGTCTTGAAAAATTGCAATATAGGAATAGAACAAAATCGAAAATTACAACATTGTATAAGGATTGTCGTAATTGCTGATATGAAGCAAAGGCTAATTGCTACATACCAACGGCAGCGTAAGAATTGTAGCTTGCATAGTTGAAAAATAAGTTTTCCAGCACTTTACAAACACACACAATGAATACAAATAAATGAAATATTTTATTTCCTTTTGTGTCTACATTTCATTTCGCTTTATTTGAATAAATTAACGAAGGCTTTGATAAAAAGTAGTGAGCTTAATATATTTTATTTATTAATTTCATTTTCATCATAAAATTTCTTGTTTAATGTTGTTTGATGACTATGTGGCAACCTTCTGAACAACGTTGATTTCGATCAAATTGATAGCTAGTGTAATAAATCGACACAGTACCTTAGCACTTTTTGTACAATATTAAACTACATAAGCGGCGAAAAATTTGTCCATCAAATTAATAATTAAATTTCGTTAAAAAATGAATTACGTTGACGATCCTTCCGATCCCGATTGGTAAGTTTGTCCAGGGATAATTTTGTGGCGCGACTATGCCTTTGTTGCATTTACAGCCAGCATTGCATGCGGGAGCATACTATTTCGTGCAAAATCATACTATTTTCGGCACAATTGCGTTTTTCATTTTTTAGGAAAGACAGTAAAGTAAAAAGCGAATCAAATACGAACGTTAAAGTAGAGCGCGGCACACCTAATCAATCTAAACTAAAATATTCGCAGAAATTCTGTGAAAAATGGGTGAGCGTGTTTTCACCATGGCTAGCGCGATGCGAAGATGATCGGAACAAACCATTTTGTCGGGCATGTCAGTGTCGACTAGATTGCAATCGTTGTCATTTGCAGAGGCATGAACGCACTAGTAAACATGCACGTAATTTGCAAATATTGGTCAACAAAGGGGAAGGAGCTGCTCGTCAAAATCTTAGTATTCGCCAAGAGCGCAGCAAATACTATCAGCAACGCAAGAAAGTTAATACTTCTGCGGACTCCCCTGATGAATCGGAAATGGGAGTTGGTGACGATTACATCGAAGAGTAAGTGCCAGTTTATTTCGCAGAAAGTTTAAATTGCTTTGACTGACTTTAACATGATTTTCAGGGCAGACACAGAGACGATAACTGAACATTTTCAATACGAACAAACTGATCAAGTTTCGGGTGAAAATTTTACCGGTGTAGAAATAATATGTAAACAAGAAAGTGTTCCTCTTGCTAATGTCGAAGAGTATGTGTTGATACGCTCTTTACCTAGAAATAATTCAGGACGTCCCAGAAAGGGCGTCCAAAAGCCGACGGAAGTCGACTCGAATACAGCCACGCCAGTTCGCAAAGACGGCATAAAATTATTGATGCAAATTCATAAAAACAAGAACGAGCTGATGGAATTCATGAACAACTCTATGTCACAACAATCCTCTCCTAAAGAAAAAAATCACGTAGATTTATTTTTCGAAAGTGTTAGTTCGAGCGTAAAAGCTTTGTCTCCCAAATTGATAGCCGAAACGAAGATGCGTGTATCTCAATTGATTTGCGAAATGGAGATAAGGGCCTTAAACGAAAGGGACGCTAATACCTCTACGCTTGTGGTCACGGCGGAAGGTAGTAGCGGTGCTTATATTATTAATCAACAGAAAACGGAATCGCAACTTGCACATCAGCAATCGGACGAGGACAATCATTATGAAGCACTAAGTTGAAAAACAATCGGATGCATTTTTTTTTTAATCTGATTTCATATTTTTGTTCTATCGTTGCTTTATACATCATTCATTTACTTGTAATATATAAAGATTTATTTTTGAATCATCTTTGTCTACACGTATACGGCGGAACCTTTTCAGCTATGTTTAAACTTAAACATATAACATGTATACATTTATTGATAAATTTTTTTGCTTGCTTTCTGATCTGTTTTGAATATGCAATCAAAATCTTCTTGTTCGTAGAAAGCATATACTAAACGCATCGTGTTAGTAAACCCACTTCCATCCTTCCAGGGGCTTACAATAACTACAGTATCGCCAGTCTTAATGATATTAATGCGCTTAGCAATATTCATAGCATATTGTATACGAGCATCGATGTCGGCCAACCAGTCCGTATTTGGGAGTTCTATTTACGTTTTATTTATGTTGAAAATAATAATAATGATGACAATAATAGAAAGCAATTGAAAGGGGACACAAACCTGAGTACAACATGGGTACAATGCCACGGTAAAGAAAGCATTGTCGAAAAGATCGATTACAACGAGTAACGGCCAATATGGGACATCTAGGTTTATATCGTGCCATTAAGTGGGCTGATCGACCTGAAGTCGTCAATACAATAATGGCGGATGCCAACGTTTTACGTGATGCATCTACAGCCGCAATGGCCACTGAATGAGCCGCGTCTATTGAAGAAGGATTGCGATCTAACAAGTCCTGGAAAATATTTTTGTACCATAAAGCACTTTCGGCTTCTTGAACTATGTTGGCCAACATCTGTACACTTTGTACCGGGTAGCGGCCAACTGCGGTCTCGCTTGACAACATAACACAATCAGCTCCATCTAAAACGGCATTACCTAAATCGCAGATCTCCGCTCGTGTTGGTCGAAGTTTATACCGCATCGACTCTAACAACTCAGAAGCGACAATCACCGGCTTACCAGCTCTGTTGCATCGGGCTAGGACGGCTTTCTGAGCTAGAAACACTTTCGCCGAGGGTATTTCAATAGCAACGTCATTACGAGAAAATAATATGCCGTCCGAAGCGTTGAGAATCTTATCAATCGACTCTAGTCCCTGCAAACAATCTATTTTAGAAATAATTTTGATTTCTCTACCCTTTTCCTTTAAAATGTCACGTAGTTCGTTAACTGCGTCTTGGTTTCTCATAGCGGATGCAAATATCATGTCAATATTATTTTCAACGCCGAACTTCAAGTCGTTGATATCCTTTTCGGAGACAGCTGGCAAATCTACGGTGGCCCCTGGTAAATTAACCTTCTTATGCGAACCTAGCATACCCCCACGTTCCACTTGACATGTTATGCAATCAACACCGACTTCTTTAACGATCAACTTTAGCGAGCCATCGTTAATGAAGACCAACATACCGGGCTGGACTACATTGATAATGTTAGGATAGTCGACATAAATGCACTCTCTGTTGCCCTTATCCATTAGATCGCGATTTATAGATAAACGGAGATTGTCGTTTACTTTTATTTCTACTTCAAGATTAGGATTGCCCTCCAGAAGACCAGTTCGTATTTCAGGGCCTTTCGTGTCCAAGGCAATAGCCGCTTGTACTAAATAGCCTAGCTCTTTTGAAGCCGCCTCACTTGCCTCACGTATTAACCTCATAGTCTCGGCATGAATCTCAAGTGAATCATGAGATAAATTCAAACGCGCAATTCGCATTCCATTCATTATCATTCTTTTCAAGGTGTTCGCATTACGAGAACCGGCACCAATTGTGCAAGCGATACTAGTTAGGCGATGATGCGCTGCCCGTCGGGTAAAATCCAAGCGGCAGGTGTTCTCCAAATGAGTACTTTCCTCGCACAATATTCCAGATACTTCAGCCATTTTTAGCCAATTTTTTAATACAAAGAATTTTGTTAATTTTTTTTCTTGAATGCTTACGCAAAACTTTTTTTCTTAGTTTTATAAAATATTCATTTGTTTTGTTGAATGAAGTTATTCAAATTTTTGAATTTTATGAAAACTGAAATAATACCGAAACTATATATTTATTCTATATCTATAGGGGTGGGGCCAAATCGAAATATTATTTTACCAAAGTAAATAAGTGCACAAATGAGTCCGAGACAAAAAGATATCATTTCAGCATTATAAACATGGGGTTTTTATTAACAGAATCATTTGTAATATGTAAAATGTAATATTTAGAAGCGAGTTCATTTTTCGGGGATGATAATTAATTACACTTTATGAAAACTGCCATTTTCTGTCAAATGTAAGTACCGCATATTCTTAAGTGATTATAAATAATTGCAGTACATGATTAGAGAAGACCCCATGGTTACTTTTGCCGATTTTTAGAAAATTACTGCTTGGCATCATCAATGTTACTGGACATTACTGTAAAAAAAATATATATATACATATATTTAAATAATATTAGGGAAACGTAAAAATTGTTCACATAAGAGGAAACACACTCAAGCGCACATATCTCATTCATACAAGGATACATTCAAATTTTCATTACATCAATTCATTCATTCATTTGCATTTGTTTTCTTTTTCTTCTTTTTTTTGTTTATCTTCAACATACACAATGCGCATAGTATTCGTAAAACCGGATCCCTGTTTCCAGCCAGTGACAATGACTACTTGATCTCCCGTCTTAATAAAACCGTTCTTTTGACCAATTTGTAGACCGAATTGCACACGCACATCGACATCTTTGAGCCAATCACTAAGAGGCGGTTCTGTAAAATAGAAATTAGAAGATTAGGTGAACAGAACACGTAACATGCAAGTAATAAGTATCAAACAAATCACAATCACTGCATGTCTATCAACGTATGTTTGTATTCAACCGGCGAATAGGTCGCAATTGTCAAAATATTTTCAAAGAGTCTAATATACTGATATGTTTTGATCCACTAGCAATTTAGATATATTTGTAATAAAAGTTTGCTTACCTTTATATACTAAAGGTACCAGACCTCGATACAAATGCGCTTGCCTGGCTGTTTGAGGGTAACGGGTGACAGCAATAATAGGGCAACGTGGACGGTATTTGCTGATCAGGTACGCCGATTTACCAGTGGTAGTTATAACTATAATAGCTGCAGCTAAAGCTTTTGAGGCTGCCTCTACTGAAGCAATGGCCACGGCATGAGCGGCATCTATAGATGGTTGGGCTGCATGCACCAAATCGATAAAAAGATTCCGGTGCCATAAAGCAGCCTCTGCTTCTTTACATATCTTTGCCATAGTTAGAACACATTCCAAAGGATATTCTCCTTTCGCTGTCTCCCCCGACAGCATGACACAATCTGCACCGTCCAAAACGGCATTGGCAACATCAGAAATTTCAGCACGAGTGGGTCTTGGCTTTTTAATCATTGATTCTAGCATTTGTGTTGCACATATGACAGACTTTCCAGCTTTATTGCAGCGAGCAATAATGGATTTTTGAGCAAGAAAAACCTTTTCTGGCGGAATTTCGATACCCAAATCACCGCGCGCTACCATTATGCCATCGCTAGCGGCCACAATTTCATCCAAATTGTGCATACCTTGCTGATTTTCAATTTTAGATATAATTTTAATATTTTTACCCTTTTCGCCCAAAATTTTGCGTATCTCAGTTATAGCATTACCATCACGTATGAAGGACGCGAAAATCATGTCCACTTCTTGTTCAACTCCAAATATTAAATCTTTGTTATCTTTTTCTGAGACGGCTGGTAAATCGACTGGTACGCCAGGCAAGTTAACACCTTTCCGCGAACCCAGTAATCCTCCGTTTTCAATTACACAAATCAAATGATCATTACCAACTTCTTTCACCACCAAAGAAATTAGGCCATCATCGACGTAGACACGGTTACCCGGTTTAACTACTTTCACGATATTCTCGTAGTCTACATAGAGTAGATCTTTGGTACATTTATCAGCGTTAGTCTTATCTGTGGTCAGTTTAATTGTTTCATTGCGCTTTAATTCTACCTCGGCTGTACCGCTGCCTTCAATTAAACCTGTACGAATTTCTGGACCTTTTGTGTCCAAAGCGATTGCTACTGCATAGTCATAGCCGACTTTTTCCGAATAACACTTCGCTGCCTGACGAACATTTTTAATCGTTTCCGCGTGATACTCGTGTGAGCCATGGGAAAAATTCAAGCGAGCGATATTCATACCGGTACTTATCATTTTTTCCAGCATTTCGACGCTGGCCGAGGCCGGACCGATTGTACAAATAATGCCAGATAAACGCACATGAGGAGCAGGGCCATCAAATTGCAAAGAACACATGTGTTGTAGTTGAGATTCTGCAATAGCAGCCATCATTTGAGGATATTCTCCTTCCTAAACAAAAAAAAAAAAAAAAAGAAAGCTTTCTTGTGACTCGATCACTCACAGTATTAGAAATTTTAATCATGACAATATATGTAACGCTATTGAAAACCGCCTACGCCAACTTTAAATTGGCACACACTGCATATAACTAAAGATCTTATTAAGAAACTATAAGCATTTCTACAGTAATAAGCAAAAGTTCTATACTACATTAAAATTTAAAAACAAATTTATAAATCGTTTCAAAAGAACATTGATGAATTCACAATGCTGTTGTTTATTTTTGAGTTGCATTACAGCTCTTTCTTTCCTCTTTCTCTCTCTCTCTCTCTGTCTCTCTCTCTCTATTAAAATGTACACAAAACAGCTAACACACATGACGTATACGTAATTTATATTTCATTTGAGTTTTCTTTCTCTCCGAAAATAATCATATTTCTGAGATTTTTCAAACAAGAAAGAGAATAAAAGAGTATTCAAATTACGCGAAGAATTCAAAGCGTCCGACAAACCATCTCTTAGCAATTTTCTTTTTATAATTTTTATATCGTTTAGTTTTTTTTCTTTTTTTTTTCTAAATGCATCAAAATTGCATAATTTTTGTTAAAAAATTTCTTTTAATTAAAAGAATTTCAAATTAATTTTTGGTTGAATGAAAATTAATATTGAATCCACATCAAACAGCAACTAATCACGTAGAGGTATTTCTCTAAGCTCTACAAGAATTTTATAAAGCTGGACATCTCTTGTTGCTGATTTTCCTTAATTACCTTTAGCTTTGGTGGAACATCGAAAGTGGTTGGTTGAACCATTTTAATTTGTTGCAAACGTAAAGAACGTGTTTGAGTCGAAATTTGCTTTTGTTTATTAAACTCTCTAGGCGTAGCGTTGATACAAATCTTTCCTATTGGATAATAGGAGCTTTCGACACAAATGTACTTGGTTCTGGACTTAAATGCCCATTTAAGGACGTTTAGAACTCGTAACTTTGATAAAATGTTTATTATTTTTATCGTGTTCTTTTACAAATCAAATATTTTAATACAAAATGTAAATAGAAAATGACGGTTATTAACAACTTTGACAAATGTTCTTTTCACGACTTGCTTAGCAAACTAGACGGTAAGACTGAAAAAAAACTTGGGCGCAAGCACTTTACAACGACCAAGCAAGATAAATGTTATGCACAACTAAAATCGGCCAAGAGTTACACCAAACAATCATTCACTCATTTGTATTGCAATGAATGCTCTATTATTTGCTCTTGCTTTTATTACTCTATTATTATTATTATTCTCACTCTCTACTTTCGCTTTGCAGAAACGTTGAAAGCGAAAGAGAAGAAATACGAAAACGGCATTTCATGACTGTGGTGGTAAATAGGGATGACCGCAAACACATATTCAAACGAAAACATTACTTTGAACATTTGTTTGTTCTGGCTTTTTAGGCTCATTCAACTGTATAATGATTAAACGAAATATAATAATTATAAAAATAATAAGTAATAATAATTAATAAAAGGCGTTAACTTTTTCTTACATTTCAAGTACCTGAATAACTCGATCAAGTGCGCGTGTAGCTAGATAAAATTAAACCGACTACAGCCGACTATTAAAGATACTACACTAATCATATGTTTTTTTCATGGATTATTAAAAATGACACCTTCATTTAAATATTTGCTTTGCAGCAGAACCCTTATTGCAGAAGAATCCAAGCACGCCGAACTGGTATAAGTTTTGTATTAAAAGATTTATACTTCTTCGTTTACTTTCATACGAAAACAGCGATAAATTAAACAATCTTGCTACATAAGGAAAACCTTCACCTAGGAAGGAATCCGAAAATTGATGTGATAAATCGTTATTCTGCATCAGTAGTTTTCATCATCGTTAGACTTGATTAAAATGTAAAGTTTATAAGATCACTTTAGCAGGGAATTCAAGAAACATGAACATACTAAAACTCGTGAGAACATTTCAAAATTTACGGCTTGTAGGCAGACCGCGAAGGTACATGAAAACATGACAGACAAACAGACGGAAAAGACACGCTTAAATCGATGCGTTTCGTGTTCTTTTGCATTTTATATTAATCATCAAATTTCCCAAAAAATAAAAACCAATGAGTTCAACTTTAGACATAACTAGTAACAACTTGTTACTTTTTCCCCTTTTACTTAGATTAGTGTTGACATCCGAAAATTGGCCAAAGCTTCACAAACACATAAAGAACACAAGTTGTTTGAGTCTGGTTTTCAGTTTCTAGAAACAAAGGAATCGATGTACTTTCAACTGTCTTATATTTCCATTACATGTTAAGTCTTGAGAGTGCGACATGACCAAAATAACTCAAAATTTTACTTTGATCAAAACTATATAGCCTCACTAACATAGTTTCATGGGTGTTAGACATTAATGCAAATCATTTGGAAACGTTTAAAAACTCAATCTTTACTATCAAGATTATCTTATACATCAATCCATGAATTAGCAAGCAGAAATGTCGAATTGAATCTGGAGGAAACAATATTTTTCCAAAATTAACAAATGGGGTCCTCAGATAAATGTTTTATTTTAGTTCGTATTTTACCGAGAACCCGAAAATGTTAATGATTTATTTGATCGCGGTAATATCAGCAAATTTAATGGCTCTGAACCAGGGAGGAGTGGAAAGTAAAATTGTCCAATTTATATGCAAATGATACCAAACCTGAAACTAAAGTCACATACTGCGTAACTATGAAAAATTTTATAAATTGACTGCTGACGGACTGAACAAAGATATCAAGTGTGTGTTTATATCACAATACTTCAAATACTAATCTGAGAATAGATGAGTTAGTTCATCAAGTTATGTAAACAAAAGGTGCTTGCTTGTTCCTAACCAAATTTTTGGTAATACAATTGGGTCGATTTTATTAAGCTTTCTGCTATTTATTGCCAAAAATGCATTTACAGCAATAACACTTTTAATTATTATTATTTATTATTATTCATTATAATTTAGTATTGAATATGTTTTTATTTTATATGTACAATTTACAGACAACAGCTTGATTTAATTACTAATTTGCCTAATGGGGCTATTTTCCGACTTTTTTTTTTGATTGGTTACGGTACCAAACGACGGTAAAAACAAAAACAATATATTTCGTTCCCGCTATGCACTATAAGAAAACAAAACTTTTGGTCACTCTAATCATATATCATATTAAAAAAATCATCTCTTCATCTTGTTTTTATTACTCTACATCAACCGAAATTAATCGCAGTAAACAACAATAGCAAACTGTTAGAAATGACTTTGATTTCACCTTTCAGTTATGAAATAATTCTTATGAATTTCCATTAAATCCATTATATCATATGATATCAACTACATACAATGTGATGCATACTCACCAAAAATTGATGAAACTTTTATAAAATCGAAAAAAAATTGCTTTTAGCTATCGAAAGAAAATTAATTTTTACTATAAAGACGATATCAAATGTTCCAAGTGATCACCAAGAGAACTTTTTCACATATGTTAACGACTAACTTGATAAATAAACAATACAAACACGACCCGTGAAGTCTCTTGTAGATATATATCTACAGCAATACGCGTATCACAGACAAGGACAGACTTAAAACTTCGAAAAAGTGACGAGTAACGAATATATATCCAAAACACATCAATTTCTGCAATGAGTAAGTAAGGAACGCAACTATATACAAATTGTTTTCTCCTTCTAAGCACCCTTTTTCGGTTCAAGTTGGAAAAATAACTATTTACTGGTCATCTCTCACGCAGAGATGTAAAATAATGTTTCGTTAGCGCATATTCTTGCTTCTTTCATTACGTAACATTGATGAGGAGGTTTTTGATTTTTCTGATTTTAGAAAAATTTAACATGTTCAAATGAGCTGATCGACAAAAAATCACATATGACTTTTTTTCGCTTTTTCACTCTCTAGTCTAGTTTTTATGACAAAAATAATTTTTTTTCTTTATAGAAATTACCATAATCCGCTACAATGAAACCCTGTGCGTTTGTTCTCAATACCAAATATCGTATATAACTTTTTACTCAGGTTATTAAAAGTTAAACTATAAATCTAATTTTATTATTTGGACACATAAGCCACAAATCTATTGGCTTAGTCCATCTCCGTTCAACATACCAAAAAAAAAAAATAAATCTAATTTTTTATTATAAGACAACAGAACTATCTTCATTCATTGCCGCTTTAAATTGTTGAAAGAAAAACTATAACATAAATAAGTGTTTGTAGCGAATTGAATAAGTACGATTCTTATTTAATGTAAAGTTTCAATGGGATACATACTAATTACATTAGATAGTTTATGCTTTCGCTTCCCACTTTAGCTTGAACTTTTTCACAGTACCTTTGCTTTCTTGTCTTGACGACTAAATGTATTAAAAGTCTTAAGAAACGGAATGAAGGCACAGCGTCGATTAAGATGAAAGAAATTGAACATGCTTGTTTGTTTGATTGGTAGGCGTAATCAATCATGGCAGTGCATGTTACTTACATTTTTCTAAAGTAGGATTTGTGAAATTCGGCTGAAGCTGAATTTATAGTTTTTTGGTTAACGTGCTCCATGCGCGTGTTCTCTATCGTATCGTAGGTACACAACAGGAACTGTTTTCAGCTGACATTCTTTTTTTTTTATTGTAATGGCACCCTCTTGGAAATTTATGCAATGTTTACAATTTGCTGCTCGGAAGCATGCTAACCAAAGACGTAAAGATACTAAGCAGACGCCTTATATTAATCATCCAATAAATGTGGCTACAATTTTGAGCACAGAAGCTCACGTTGGTGATGAAACTGTTCTAATGGCCGCTCTTTTGCACGACACTGTTGAAGATACCGACACTACTTTTAAAGAAATCGAGGTTTGCGTTCTGCATTTTTTTTTTTTTTTGTGTTTGATTTGTTTTGATGTGAACATTTTAGGACAAGTTTGGTACCGAAATATGTGGAATTGTGCGCGAAGTAACGGATGATAAATCTTTAGCTAAGGAGGAACGTAAAAGATTGCAAATAGAAAACGCTGCAAATTGCAGTCCAAAGGCAAAATTAGTAAAACTGGCCGATAAATTGGACAATTTAAGAGATCTGCAAGTATCTTTGCCTGTAGGATGGAATGAGGTTTGTAGAATGAAAAATCAAAACTAAAATGATTTTTTTGGTCTAACCACCATTAACCACTAACCAGTTATCGCCATCGCAAAGAATGATCGGCAACGAATATGCACAGCGAAACGCGTCAGATCCTTATCAGTTCTTTATCCTGCAAAGTTTGTCTTAAAAAGTTGTCAAAAAACGTCTATAAGCATACGTTTCGCAAGTCGTTTATGAATATCTAAAATGTTTGCCTTAATCCGAAGATTGTGTCCAGTTTTTGTTATATTATAACCATCTGTTGCAGGTGGTATTTATGCAAAATTCGTTTCAAAGCGAATATAATTTTCCTTGTTTTTTTTTTTTTTAATTTAATTGAATTCATATTTCTCATATATTTAGGAACGTCGTAAAGAATATTTTGTGTGGGCAAAAAAGGTAATAGATAATCTACGTGGAACAAACCAGTACCTGGAGGATTGTTTGGATGAGATATTTAGAGCTGCTAAATTAATTTGAACAAACTTTTGGATATGAAAAATTAAATATCTCTCCGTTCATAATTAAATAAAAATTTATTTCTTGTGGCTTTCATAGAATGCTATCATAAGTTTAGCTAATTTTTGCGTTTCTTCTAATGTAACGGCGTTGTAAATAGATGCTCTGATACCTCCAACTGAACGATGGCCTTTTAATTGGATCATGCCTTCGGCTTCGGCCTTTTGCAGGAATTCCTTCTCTAAAGTCTCCACACCTTGAGTGCTACCAATTCGGAATGGTATGTTCATGCGCGAACGAACATTTTTCTCAACCGGACAATAATAGAAACCATTCGATTGATCGATTATACTGTAGATTAAATGCGATTTTTGATGAGAATTTTTTGCCATGCCCTCCAAGCCTCCATTTCTTTTAATCCATTGGAATACAAGACCCATCACGTAAATTCTGCAAAAAAAAAAAAAAAAATTAATAAATTAGTAAATAAATAAACTACAGGTGGTTGCGATTAATAATAATGGACAATAAAATTCGTCTTATCTGATGCATTAAAAATATAAATTTTGTAAAGCGTAGACTTAAAACTATTTCACAAGATTTTGTTGATTACAGATTATTACATGTGCTATGTAATAAAAAAAGCTTATTAAGTAATTGAATAAAACGCAGAAACTTACACAAAAGTAGGCGGCGTATTTAGTAGGGAATCATTTTTCTCCATTAAAGCGTAATTCAAAACTGACGGCGTCTCTTTCATCTGATGACCAAGAAGATCTTCGCGTGCAATAATCACTGTAATGCCAGCTGGGCCAATATTTTTCTGGGCTCCCGCAAAAATCACGCCGTACTTACTGACGTCGACTTTACGCGACAGGAAATTTGAAGACATATCACAGACTAGCGGTATACCGTTCGATATTTCTGGAACAAAATCAAATTCAACACCGTCGACGGTTTCATTATCGCAGTAATAAACGTAAGCGGCATGAGGATCCAGTTTCCACGTTTCAAAACGCGGCACTGACGTGTATTTAGCGACTTTAGGCAAAACCATGTTTACCTTGCCGTATTGGGCGGCTTCTTTGGCAGCTTTCGCTGACCATGAACCAGTAACAACATAATCGGCAACTCCAGTGCGACCTAGCAGATTGAAAGCTACACCAGCAAATTGCCCTGTACCGCCACCTTGCATTAAGATAACTTTGTAATTGGAGGGCACATTGAGAATTTCGCGAAGGCATTTAATAGCATCTTTTTGGATTTTTTCGTACGTAGAGGAACGATGAGACATTTCCATAACAGATATGCCTGTACCATGACAGTTCAATAGCGAGGTTTGAACCTCTTTCAGAACCTAAGAGCAAAAGAATAAAACTTATTGAACTATATATGTAAGCTATGAACGTACGCATGTATTCTCATACCTCCTCTGGCAATTTAGCCGGTCCAGCTGCAAAGTTAATGACCATATTTTAAGTTTTATTTCTTTATTTTTACAAAATTTTTAATGCCAGAAATATGGAACAAGACGAAAAATGTGACCGCTCTCTGACTCTTTAATTCAGTAACTAACTGATCGTAATTGAACACATTCTACGTAAGTAAACAAGACGATATGCTCGCTGGTTGTTATAAATATTGCTGATTAAATTACAACAACGCCAACAACAACAATGTGGCAAATCGAAATTACTTTGATCTGATATTTTAATATATTATATAAAATGAATGAAAACAACACGAGATTCCTAGGCGGGAATCGTAACATAAAAGAGACACAATGAATCGGTATAAACCAGTTGGCGTTTTTTGTAGTGTGAGAGATCAATCAAATTGTTCACGTGATCTTGCCTGTACATCAAATGAACAAGGGTACATAATGAATACTACTAATAAAAAAATATAGATTGAATTTTTGGTAAGATTGTTATTAAAAACAACTAACGCTCTTGCAAACAATTCAGTTGTCGAAGAGAGCAGATGACTTACTCTCCTCAAAATATGCCCAAAAAAAAGGAACGTAATATATGATTTATTAGCAAGAAAAAGTAGTGCGAAGGCATTTAGACCACTCTTGTTATCTCGTTTCAATTGCGCCAAAAAATCCATTCCAAAAAAAATATACATATGTGAAATTTTTCTCACTTTACTAAATTTCAAAGTTATAAACTATTTTTAAATGATGTAAAAATTTATACCATAAATAAAAAATATATCTTCCAGATAGTTTCCATCAATATTCCGTTGTAATTGCATCATTTTCAACTTTTACCCCAAACTATAGGAATTTTAAACATGTTTGTGTGAAGAAATTTGTTTCAATCAGAAAACTTTTTATTTTAAAATTTGCCCTTAATATTATAATAATAAAATATATGCAAAGTCGTGTCGTCTTTTTCACACATTTAAGCTGATGAGAAAAAATAACTAATCTAATAAACTAGTTGCTATCGATTTTTCGCCATTTTATGGTAAAGAGACAAACATCTGTAACGCATGCATGATGCGTAAATGTCAGACTCGTGCTTAATTTGTGTTTGAAGTCAGAAAAAGGCAAACAAAGTGTGCCTTTAGCCTTTAATTCGGTAATAAATTGAAGTTTCTTCAATTTTGTCCAAAGAAATTTTCAAAAGCATATTAACTACAAACGTTCCAATATATGTATGAATTGCACATGTTTCCGCCACATTCGTTGCGAAGTTCGCGGAGTTTAACTAATGAAAAAATAATTACAGTTAAGAGAAAAGTCGACATTTTTAAAAAGCATTTTTTTTTTTTTTTGCTAGCTTCTCGCCATCAGACAATATTCGCATTTCGTTCTCTTTCGCGCTTTAAGTTCTTAGCATCAATGTTATAAGCGTCATTTTTATTGAGAAACTGCCGCGGTTTTAACAAAATAATAAAAAAAAACATAGAAAAATTTTCGA